TTTTCCCATTGACAAGTCAAACCTTCCCCCATTTGTATAGCAGTGTACATAACATCTAAATGGTAATTATAAAATATACCTATTTTTTCTGATGAGCTAAGTCACCACTGGTGAACATGACTTGAAATTGTCTGCCATACCTCTATCACTACAAAGACCAACATGATTTAGTGCTGTTACAGTGTTTTCTACCCAGCTGTTGTCCATAAATCACAAAGGGAAACTGTTGCAATGTAGAAAACATTCTGCACATAGTCAGAATTAGGTAATGGCTAAATTCCAGCCACTCACAGAATACCAGACACTAGATAAGAATGGCACTGTTACTGATTCTCACCAGTACTAGTGCGGTAGGAGTTTGTAAGAGATTCCCTTAGGTTTACGCTGCTAAGCACGAGCACATTAAGAAAGACTTTATGGATTTAAGACAATTTGTTTTCATGAACTTTCATGCAATAAACTGCCTTAATTTGTTACATTCAAGTTTAACTGTTGAAGTTGTTTAAACTGTGATCCCCAAACCATTTAAGAAAGTGTCCTTGCTTTATATTGGAGTATTTTCCATTTACTTCAGATCACCTTCTTTCATGCAGCTACCACAATTATAATAATGTCAACAGGGAAAGTAATTTCTGTGTAAATAGAGTATTTTGTTAGTTTAAGTGACACCCTAAATAGGCTTCTCAAGAGAGACTCAACAGTAAATTAAACTAAAAAAATAAAGTGGGATTAAAAGTAGCCCCAAAGGTCAAGGTTTCTGGATTGTACATAATTTCCTTGTTAACCTATTATGTACATACAGTATATGCTTCCCAAGACTTTTGATGGAAATGTGCCATCTAAAGTATGCATTAATAGCCATTATAACAACTGAGAAGAGACAGAAAGACAATACAAATATTCCCTGGGCAGAAAGAATAGGCATTTATTAACAATTAACACAAATATAAAATTTCTATATAACCCACAGCTACCATTATTGTATGACATTATACGGGCCAGTTACTTAACTGCTTCAGTGTTGGTTAAGCCCGCAATAAAATGGATAATAAAATACTATTGCTATCTAAAAGAGCTTCCTTGTCTAATTAAAGATAAAAAGTGGAAAAGACACTAAAGCATAGCCCATGCAGTGCAGTGAAGTTAAATTCTCATTACTTGGCCAAACTGCATGCCACACGGAGCTGCATATAACACTCACTCCACTATTTAAAAAGAAAACTGTTGAAGATTATAATAAAGGCAGGGGTGTTAAATAATTCCCCAGGCAACTTCTCTCTCAAAATCTAATCCCTTCTCCCCTCTTAATCCATTTATTTTGTAACAATAGGCTTCAAATTGTTCGTGCATTTTCAAACTTGGATTTTTATCTAGAACTTAATTCTTGACAATACTGTATCACCTCCTAAACTCACTGTATAGGGTGCCTTTTCATTCCAGCGTCTTTCTTCTGACATGCGCCTTCAGAGCAGATGGAGAGAATAAGGAGTAATGAAATATATAATGTACACATACAGAATTTCAGACCACTGGCTCATCCAGCCTAGTATTGTTGGCATTGATTAGGAGCTGCTCTTCAGATGTTCAGGTAGATTCCCCGCCCACCAACTCTATGAGGAGATACATATAGGAAGGGAGGTGACACAGGACTCTTTATTTAGTCAAAATAAATGTTTATTCAGAAGTGAAATAAAGCAGAACTACGGTCAGCGATTCTGAGATGATACTCCCTTCAGCATCTTTCCTTCATCTACTGAGCAGCCATTCTATCACACTGCAGCAGAGGGTAGAAGAGAACACAAGCAGAGCCACTGGTTCTGCTGAGAGACCAACAACATGTGTCTTTATACTTTCTGACTTGCTTCCTAGCATGGCGGTAATTAAACCTAGTGTTTGCGTTTGTTCTTTCTCATCTTTCCTTCCAATCCTGTTTTCTTTTGTGTTGTTTCTTTTTAAAACTATAAATCGGAGAGCAGGACTCTTCTATTACTTATCTTTGTAAGCTCCTCTGGGACCCATTTTGGCTGAAGATTGGGTAGATGGATGGCAGAACCACTGAATAAATCGTGCTCTCTTATAAACAGTCTTGGAACTGAACGCAAAGGCTCTCAATCCACGTCACAGCTTATCATAGATAATGTGTAACCTTGTGCAAGACAGTTCTTCTCTGCTGTAGTCACCCATCTATAAAAGAGAAATAGTAATGAACTATGTATCACACCAGGTTGCTTTGCAATTGTACCAAACACATAAATGTTAAATATTAGACTATTTCAGGATGAAAAGCTGTCTTACCTCCCCAACAAAGTGCTTCTTTCATACAGAAACCAGCAAGAGCCTTGAGGTTTTCCAGGGGAGTATCTCCCCCACCCTGCTATCTAATTCTTCAAATGGGGACAATGGCAGAAAAACCTGACTTTTAAAAAGAAGAGAGCAAACTATATGCCATTGAGACCCATTGATCTCACGGTTTTAACCTTAACTGAGCTCCAATACTAATGAAAAGGTGTTCCTGTGTGCATAGTAAATCACACCAGAGTTGGCCCATTGAATCAATGAAGATTTAGTGAGTTAAGTCCTCAACTTCTTATACTGATTCTAATGAGCCTACTCTAGCTGGGACTTACTAAAGTCACACTAAAGTAAGTCACAATTAGAGCAGGCCCATTTGAATCAATGGAATTTAGGGAGAGGTTGACTCAACAAATCCTCATTGATTCAATGGAGTTTATTACATTAATGCAGTTTATTACATTAAGAAATAATGATTTAGCCATTAGACCACAGAAATAAAATCAAAAAACACAAGTGAGCAGTATTTTATTATGACTAGCTAAAACCATACATGAACATGGAACTTCAACAGTGTTTCAACAAAAACATGCTCTTATTATTTATTTTCATTACATTTTCATGATGCGTTTCTCCTGGTCAAGGGACCCAAGATGGCTCACTTATATCAGATGCAACTACTGTACAGTAGATGCAACACCAAAAAGCAAACAATGTAACTATAATGTTAATCAGACTAGTGACTGTAGATCAGTTTTAAAAAGCACAAAACACAAGAAATGTACATTAGTGCAAAATTAAGACTCTGCCATCCAATTTAATTGGCAAAAGCTTGCCTGAAAAGGAAGGAGGTGCTTGTGAGGACACAAGGATTGAAAGAAGGACCTTCTCAGAAAATCTTTACACACAGGGAGATTTGCCTGAAAAGGAAGGAGGGCATTCCATAGCCTGGGAGCAGCAATCCAAAAGGACTTCTCTTGCATCTTCACCAAAGGTGCTTGTGAGGACATAAGGATTGAAAGAAGGATCTTCTCAGAAAATCTTTACACACAGGGAGACTCCTATGGAAACACAGTCCTTTGGATAGCGTGAACCCAAGCTATATAGGGCTTTATAGATCACGAGCAGCGCTTCCTCGGTGATTTGGGTGTCTGGCTGTGGAACTGGGTTAGGAAGTCAATTCACCGTGTCTCTAATGAGTGGGAGCTGCACTGCACAGTTCCAGAATGCCCCGAGGAGAAGGGAATGGATGTTCTCTACCTGGAGGGCCCTGGAAGGGGTTGCCATTTGGTTAGAACTGATTTGGCGGCACATGATTTATATCCCCATCTGGAAGGGGGATTAAACAGTGGAAGGTGAGCAAAACTATGGTGCTTGTCCCACTGCTGTCCTCACATGCAGAGCCTCCATGCTTTGCAGGTGCTTTAATAGGTTTTTTATATTCAAGTAACCAGCATTTTATTGCTATTTTATTGTAGAGAAACTCTTTCCTGTCCTGATTAGCAGTCTGGCTACTGCATTTTGGCAGAACTGATGTTTTCAAACTCTGTTTAAAGGCTGCTTCATGCAGACCCTTTCAGTAATGCAGGCAGGATATATCTATGGCATGTGCCACTGTAACGAAATCAGGGATCTTAAGGAATGGCACAGCTGGCACATTAGTTGTAATTGTACAAATGCCAGGCTTGGGGATGGATCCAGTACATGCAAACTCTCAATCTGAATTTTCAGGGGGATTATTACAGCAAAGTGCTGGAGAATAATTTTCCTTATTATCCAGAGAGAAAAAATATATAATTCAATGAAATAGCATCGCTTCCCGTTTCCAGTACCACAGAGGAAAACAGTTATATACCGTCCTGCATAATGAAGCAGATTTTAAACAGTATTACGGGATGCAGGAAAAGCAGTTGTTTGGTGGAGGCGGCAAGGCTTCTGCGAGAGAGCCGCCTTCTCTATCCTGAACTATGTTTATCCGTCTCACTCTTGACGCTGCAAAAGGGAGATCGTAGCGCAGAGCGCAAAGATATCCTACGCAGTCACGCAGAAGGCCCTCTGGATGCAAAGAAGCTTACTCGCAAGTAAACGTGTACTGCAACGCAGAGAAGGACTCATTCCTGACTGGCTACAGCAACACCGATGGTAGGCGAGCGTGTCGAAACATAAAGGAAAACCGCCGCCTCCGCCCAACATATTTAGCCAATCATAGAAGCGGCAAGTACATTCGAATTATTTCATCCAATAGAAAAAGTTCAAGAAAACGGAGTTGGCTGTGATGGTAGAGAAAAGGAGAACCGCCCCGCCCAACATATTTAGCCAATCATAAAAGCGGCAAGTACAATCGAATTATTTCACCCAATAGAAAAAGTCCAAGAAAACGGAGTTGGCTGTGATGGTAGAAGCGCCATTTTTTGTTTTGGAAACGAACCTTGAAATCAGCGGACGCGCACGAGACATTACGCCCTCGTCAAACATGGCCCGACCAGAAAGTCGTGCGTCACGCGCCAGGAAGCGCGGCTCCGTTGCCTGACGCAATTTGGGAGGAGGGCAAGCTCGGCTGTAACCATAGAAACAGATAATCGTGTCCCTCGACAAGGGAGCGCGCATGCGCAACACAACTTAATAGGCGGGGCAAGGAGGAGAAGAGTAAGAGCCGACTGAGAGCGTAGCCCCGCCTTCTGTTGTGGTTTCTTGAGTGGCTTCCCGGAGCCGGCCGAGGGGGCGGGGCTATGCCGTTTCCTCTTTCCCTCCCTTCACTTCAGCTGTTCCCCGCGCGATCACCTCGTTCACCATGAGCGGGTCCCCTGTTATCCCCGTGGAGATCAGCGGCTTCCTCGCAGGTGAAGATGCCTAGGGCGGCTTGGGAGGGAGTCCCTGCAAGATGAGGCGCGAGTAGGAGTGAGGAGGGGGGGGAGAGTTTGGAAGAAGTCAGGTGCGGTTGCTTGAGTGCATGATGGGTCGGGAGGTAGGAGGGAGAACTTGGAGGAGATAGGAATGGGGCCTGGGGATTATGGGTGTTTCAATAATCCGAAACATTCGAATGGAGAGCATAAATTTGGGAGCGGAGTTTCCCCAGGTGTAATAATAAATAAAGTTAGAAAAATATGCTTCCCACCCCCCCACCTCCCGATTGTCCCTAGGCAATCCTGATCTCAGTTTTTCAGGAAATAAAAGTTGTCTTGAAGGTTCTTTAGAGGAAGGTTTCGTTCCAAAAGATGCCCGATTGCATGTGGGCGTGCCTGCTAGAATTTTGCTCCTGCAGTGCTACTTTATGTTCTAATACTTTTTCTTCTAATATTTTTGGTAGGAACTTTCAGTGATTTGTCCTCACTTTCGTTACATTTATTTGCATGATTCGAAATACTGGTGTGTGAAACTTCCACTGTGTTAAAATGTTTATGGGAGGATGTAGCATGGGGTTACTGCTTCTGGGACATTCAGTTGCTTGACAGTGTTTACAGGAGCATCCGACTCTTGTTGGACCAACACTACTTTCTCCTAGCATAACCGGCTGATGTGTGTATATCCGTGGAGTTTTGTGTGTCTGGCTCTGGAAATACAAGCCCAAAGTTTAGAAATACGGAATTATCTTTCACCAAAAAAGGGGAAGCCTTGAAACTTGCTTACTTATTTGCTTACTTATTTTCATGTAGCTGAAAGAGGGAAGGACAGTTCTGTCTTGCATTTCCTGTATTATGCAAATTATACTCTAACCACCTTCTAGGTCTGGTTGAAATATATTTGCATTAATTGCTTTTGCAAGCAACTGTCTTGGGTCCACAAATTCCAGCTCCCACAATTGCAAATGTTTTTGGATGAATTGTTAATTTATGTTTCCCAACAGTGGTGCTATTTAGTCTTTGTAACTAGGGTCACTGTGTGACTTTTATTCTGAGAAGTTTAGACCCGCTCCTATAGCCAGTAGGGAATACTAATTTTTGATTACTTTTCAACAGACTACAGTGTTAAGCGTTCACCTTGCTTATTCAAATCTAGTCATTATGAATGTTTATTGTAAAGACAACTTAAGGTCTATATATGGGTAAAGTAAAGCTTCCCCTTCACATTTAGTCCAGTCATGTCCGACTCTAGGGCACGGTGCTCATCCCCATTTCCAAGCCGTAGAGCCAGCGTTTGTCCATACAGTTTCCGTGGTCATGTGGCCAGCGGGACTAGACACGGAACGCCATTACCTTCCCACCGAGGTGGTACCTATTCATCTACTTGCATTTTACATGCTTTCAAACTACTAGGTTGGCAGGAGCTAGGACAAGTGACGGGAGCTTGCTCCGTCACATGGATTTGATTTTACGACTGCTGGTCTTCTGACCCTGCAGCACAGAGGCTTCTGTGGTTTAACCTGCAGCGCCACCACGTCCCTCTAAGGTCTATATAAACATGTTGTTAAAGGTTATTTAATATTATAAGACAAGATTTTGCACTATCCATACTATTTGATGTATACACTAGCCAGCGCAGAAGGCAAACACAAACGTGTAATGTATTATAGATAAAAACAAAAATAAAATAAGAAATTAAAAGAAACGAAAATATAGTGGCACCTTAAAGACTGTTATATTTCAATGTTAGCTTTCATACTGTAGGTGAAATCCATTTACTCAAGCATAAGAGAGAGATATAACATGGCAAATATTTGTACATGTTATCAAAATATATAGATCATGATTGGTTAGTAACAAAGTCAATGGGAATTTGATAGTGGGATGATGGCTTGTTTGGTATACAGTATGCCCCTGAGTCTGTGAGTGGGTAATCCATTTAACAAACTGAAAATAAAAGCTGGACTTTGGCTTTTCATCTTATAAAACAGATTTCTTCCACCTAGTTGTCATTTTAATATAATCCTCTGGAACATTTTCATGATCCAGAGCAGCTTTTTTAAAAAAGGAAATGACCTGTTGGTCACTTCAGGTCCAAAAGGAGCTGATGCAGTCTGCAGGGGTAGAAAATGAGGCCTATGCTGTCCCTGGATCCTTGAGCTAGAAAAGCACATATTTAGATCTCAAGCTATTAAAATGAACTCTGAGACAATAGTTACTTTTCTTTTTTTTTTAAAAAAAATCAACTGGCAGGAGTGTATTATGTTTCTTGGGACTTGACAAATAGAAGTCGACACTAGCAGTTTTTCTGCATATTGAAAGAAGTCTTTGAATTCCTGGAAAAGATATTTAGTCTGTAACCATGATACACTTCCAGATTATAGAGCAGCCACTGAATTATGGAGCAGCCACCAATAATGATTCTCAAGCGCCAAAAGAAGAAATGGAAGCCTGCTCCAAAGAGTTCAGGACTTCCAGGCCCACAGCTGTTTGCCTGATTATTGGAATCACTGGGACCTGATTGGAACATTTATTTGATTGCACTAGTTGACAGAACAAAGGGGAGAAGGTCTTCTGAGTTCATGTCTTCTGCCAAACTTTCTCAGGAAGAAGTCCTGCACCTCCTAATTCTCTGAGAATTCTTTCCCATGTGTGCTGATGCAGTCTAAATCAAGGGGCTTTGGATGAAATAAAGAAAATCAGTGTTTTATAGCATGGAGGAGAGGAACCTCTCCTGTCTTTTCAGTGTATTGCTATTATATACTTTGCAACACTAATTAACCTGGTTTAATGTCAAGTGGTGGATTAGTATCTGTGTGATGTTGTTGAAAAATAAGAAAATAAATCTCAGTGAAAGGGAGATTATGGTTGTTGTGAGTTTTCTGAGCTGTTTGGCCATGTTCTTAAGGTTTTTCTTTGTAATGTTTCGCCCGTCTCTGGCTGGCATCTTCAGAGGACAGGAGTCAGAACTCTGTGTTCTGGGCCACAAAGACTGGCAAAATGTTAGGAAGAAAAACCTTAACAACACGGCCAAACAGCCTGGAAAACCCATCACAACCATCGGATCTTGGCTGTGAAAGCCTTTGAGAATACAAAGGGAGATTACTTGTTTCATGCTATACTATTGGTGGGAGAGTCTTCAACCTATGGATATTTTGTCTTTCAATCCCTAGAAGCCCCAGCCAACATAGTCTATGGTTGACTATGGGAGTTTTAGTTCAAAAGGCCTGGCAGACCACATTTCCTATCCTTAGTGTATAGCAACAGTTACAAAAGATGGGGCTGAATAAAGTTACTTGTTATTGATTGGCTGGTTGTTAATGGTGCTACAACTCCCATCAGGCATAGCCACCATGCCACTGGTAAGGGGTAAGGGAAGTTGCAGTCCAATCACATTTCTGTGGCTGCAGATTGCCCACACTAAGTGATAACAGTACTGTAGAATGGATATCTGTGTCACTGAGCAGGTTGTGGGTTTCAGCAGAAAGCCTGTTTGCATCTAGCTGGGAATCTTATCCTTCCATGAAGAAGCAGCTGTATCTGTCAGCACGGTTCCTCCTGGTGGTCTGTTGGAACGATCCAGCAATATTTCTAGTGAAGTGACATTAGGACTTCCAAGACAGCCTTGCAGATAAGAGGGTGCCTTTTAAGTGTTACTGTACTCTGTTTTCTGCGGCTTCTGTAGCTCATCTTAGTGTCCTTCAACACATATTTACAAAGAAATGTTTGTAGATCTGGCCTGGGAAAGATACAGTGAAGAAGTTGCTATCTTTTTTTTTTACATAAATTCTTTAAAGACTGCCCCATCCCCACATCCCGTTAATGTTGTCATTTGAGCTGAAACATATTTATATGGTATCCAATAGATAGGTACATATTTTATTATTTCAGAATATTTAGGATTAGGTTATTTATCTTCCAGGCAGTCCCATCTTTGCCTTGTGTCATACTGATATAAACTTCAGTTACGTTACCAACTTATATTAGTTTTTTGCAAGCGCATGAAATGGAACAATGATGTTTCACTGTGGGATCTAATCAAAGACAAGTAATTTCCTGTTGATTTCCATGCTTATCTTGCCTTTTAAGTTCAGTGGGGCTTTAAAAATGCACCTGGCTTGATAATGCCTAAAAACTGTGGCCACAGTTTAGCAAACTATTCAGAGCAATGATGAATGATGCTGAACTCTCTGGTCACCTTCTTTGTATCCACCTTAAATGGTTGGGTTGGAGATGGCCAATTTCTCTGCAACACTCTGTTCTCAAGACTCAGTCCAGACTTTTTCTGGGCAATAATCTTTACAAAATGAGAAGGTGAGCAAAGTTATGGATCATTAATATGAATGACCCATTTCATCTCTATAAAACTAATTTAGCTGCCAGGGTGAGAAAGAATGGTGGTTGTCCTCTTTATTTCTCTTGGTTGTGCTCTGGGTTAATGCAGTCTATCCAAGGTAGAATACAATATTTTCCATATTTAGTTCTCAAACATAAAGACCTAACTCTTGTAGTCCCTCATTTCCAGTCTGAACATTACTAAAATGAATGTTCATCAGAGTAGAATTCTAGATAACTGAGTAAGATATAATCATTATGTGAATATCATTTAAGCTGATTATCATTGCAATTACCATCTATTAAAACAGTATTGAAATGAGATGAGGTACATTGAAGTTAAAGAAGAGAAAAGGGAGCCACTGACATTCTTGAAATAGCCTACAGTATTTGAGACATAACTCAATTGTCTTTGCTATAAATTTGAGTAAGTGTTACATCAGTAATAAAAGTGGCATAGGCTATTTTTAATGTACTCCCTCAAGTTCGTTCTTTCTTTTTTAAAAAATTAAAAATGAGGTTGGTTGCCTTGTCTTTCTACTGATTTTCTTCTCATTAACTCTCAAGGAATTTAAATAGACAGAAGGTTAACATTTAGTTTTTGTTGTGTTTATTTTATTCAAAATGATATATATCTTGATATGTAAAAAAGAGGCTCCTGATCTTGACACAAGCTCATTCTGTGTCCATGCATGTTTGTATTTTGTTTCAGGTATTCTGCTTTGCAGTTAAATTTTGAGTTCTTTTTTCAGTTCCTTTCTCTGATATTTTAGTTTAAAACAGAAAGAAAATTACTGTTTAGACAAAACGTTACATGTGCCATCCTCAGCCACATTTCTGCAGTTAGCTTTGTAAGTTCTTCCTTTTCTGTAAAATAGTTCTTTGTCCTGAGGGGATTTCTTTTCCCATTCTGTAGGAAGAAAAAATGTTGATGTTAGAATCTCTTGTGGTTGATGAGGTCTTGGCATCTCCAGTGTGTTCCTTCAGATTTTTTGAGCTTGTTGCCTCAATAATCCATCATCATTGATTATGCTAACTAGAACTCATGAGAGTTGTAGGCCAAGAATGTTCTGATTTCATCTCCTGGAAGGCCCAATCAGAATGATAGGGATTGTGGTCATAAGCCAAATTATTTCTGGTCAACATTTCCTCACCTCTGGTACAGAGGTTCCATCATACAGTTCAGATGATACCTCTGGATCCTGTCAATATGTTTTACTTTTTGAAAACTGCTATCTGAGCCAGAAGCTCACACCATATGCAGCAGTGAATTCCACAAATCTGTGTTGTGTTGGTTGGAATATTATTTTCCTTTAACTGATCTGAGCTTACTGCCAATCAACTTCTTGTTCTTGAACTAGGTAGCAGAGAGAAGTGGTGGGGGGGAATGTTTCTTGCCATCCTGTCTTTCATTACCATCCATAATTTTAGAAACTCTTTTCTTAGCCTCCATCAGTCACTGCTGTCTTCTACTCTAAAAGCTCCCAAACATATTACCCTTCTCTTCTATGGAAATTCTTTCACTTTCAGCCCTTCAATCACTTTGCCTCTACTTTTTTGTACATTTCCCAGCCGCATCAAATTAGACAGACATTAGAAACTTTGTATGGAATACGGCCACATTATATAACAGTGATGGGCAATTGTGGCCATCCACATGTTTTTCCCTATACAGTGGTGCCTCGCTTAGTGATGTTAATTCGTTCTGAAAAAATTGCTGCGAAGTGATTTCATCGCTAAGCGAAACGCGGTTTCCCATTGAAATGCATTGAAAACCGGATAATCTGTTCCAATAGGAACGAACTGTCATCCTTAAGCGAAAATCGCCATAGGAAACATTGCTAAGCGAAACATTTAAAAAACAGCAAACATGAGGTTGTTTAAAACAGTGGTTCTTAACCTTTGTTACTCAGGTGTTTTTGAACTGCAACTCCCAGAATCCTCAGCCAGCAGAGCTGATGGTGAAGGCTTCTGGGAGTTGCTGTCCAAAAACATCTGAGTAACAAAGGTTAAGAACCAGTGGTTTAAACCATCGTTAAGGGAAACAGGGGACCCAAAAATCACCCATAGAGCGAAGCATGGTCCCAGCCATCGCTAAGCAAAAATCACCCATAGGGACCATCGCTAAATGAAGCGCAAAAACGGTCCAAAAGAGTCGTTGCTAAACAATTTCATTGCTAAATGGAGCGCCCATTAAGCGAGCCACCGCTGTAACTTCCTTCATCCCTACTTAGAAAAAAAGATTAGGAGTCTCTCTTTCATCTTGCAATTTCAAGGAAAATTACAAAGGTATGGATCCAGGTTGCAGTTAATCGTCGGATAGCTCCATTTAAATCAGTGGGATTCAGTGTAATCTGGATTTTGATTAAGGAAACTTACAAAACATCGAGAAAACATTAAACTAATCCACTTGTTAGTTAGTCCTAGCTGGAGCAAATCTGTTGAATAAGTGTTGATTTATGTGCCATTCATTCAGTGGCTGTAATCCCATTGTGAGTCGTAACTAGAGTAGGCCCATTGAATCAGTTGATTTGACTCACCAAATCCCCATTGATTCAGTGGGCCTACTCCAGTGTGACATTACAGTATGAGATTTCAGCCAGCAGGTTTATTTTAACAGTTCTGAGCTACAGTATATTATATACTGTATCTGTGTTCCTGGGGCCTGGGTTCAAATTTGCACTTGGCCATGGAGACTCACAGCAAGGTGTGGCAATGGGAAATGCTCCTTGAACATCTCACATACTTCAAAAACTTTTATTACAGTCACCATAATTTAGAAACAACATAATGGCATACAGAAGCTATTCTAACAATTGGAGTTTAGCCCATTAGCTTTATGGTTTGTTTTTCTTGTAAATAGAATTTTACTGTCAGGTTTTATTGATCAGTGTGCCTTGGAACTTACTTTCATCAGGATCTGTGGTATTGGACTCCTTGTGCACAGAGTGATTCTGTTAATTCCACTGCTGTTACTGAGCAGTTTAATGTGAAACGTTTACACATGAGATTCCAAAAACTAAGGCTAGCTTAACACAGAGAAAGGTCCTAGAGGTCTGCAGTCACTACTGAGAAGAGAGTTTTGTTAATAAAAGTGCCAAATGATGTTTGATCTTGTGGCAATCATATATGCATTAAAGCGTTTTATTGTCTTCTGGCTTTTATTCCTCAAGTAATGGGGTATATATATATTTTACACACTTTGACAGTTTATTAAAACTTGTTAGATTTCTGCTCATTTAATGATGGCAAATGTCAAAACAGCATTTGCTGTGCTAAGCATAAGCACAGCAGTGAACAAATCTATCCAATTTAGAGTTTGAAATATATTTCAATTATATTATGCTGGGGACTGATAAAGTAACTCCATTAGATAGTTTGGCTATTATTGCCTTATTAAGAAAAGCCATAATAGAGGTATTTATCTTCTGAAAATTATCATTTCTCCTTTCGACTCATCTCTCTTTCTCTTCTTACTCTTTTGTGATTTAGATGTTGATACATTTATATCAGATATCCTAAAAGGAGAAAATTTATCCAGAAAAGCAAAGGAAAAGAAGGATGCTCTGATTAAGAAGATAAAAGACATCAAGTCAAAGTAAGTAATTATATACATATAAAGCACATTTAGTGGAGAAAATTAATGATCTTTTTCAGTGAACCTGTGATGTAGGCTTTTATTATTGTTGTTGTTATTATTGTCATAGTTATTTTTTCAGTTTAGATGTTGAAATGTGGTCTTGAAAAGTAGTTACCCTCAGTTAATGCTAAACCATGGTTTAGTTTTATGAGAAAGGGACATGGCAAACCTTGGATCCCAACATTCTCCACTTTATCTCTGGCATGAAAGTGAGGCAATTGGAAACTTATGCTTTGATTTAGATTAACCAGAGTTTGCCATTTTATTCAAACTCAGTAAACTGTGTTAATTTTTCTTGAAAATGATTGGTTTGAAGCAGTTTGTTTCCAAGTTTACCCAGGTTATCAGGGTGTGGTGACATGAGAACCTGCTGTTATTCTAAACAAAAGTAAAATCTTCTAAACTTGACATGGTGATATGGGGAGAAAGTATTCATTTGGGCCAAGGATGGGGGATGGGCTTGTCATGTTGTTGCTTTTATTTCATCATATGAATCTGTGTTTTTGGTTTTGTGGTTTGTTTTTGCTCATTTACTTATTTATTTATTCAATTTATACCCCGTACTATCTAGCAGCCAGGCCACTCTGGGCGGCTAACAACAAGAAGACAAACAACACAGTATTAAAACACAATAAGAATAAAATAATACAAACATTCAACAGATATAATAACTAGTAGGATAAATTAAAACAGATGGCTATAATAAAGATGGTTGAAAAAATGATGAAATGATGGCAAAAAGGATGTTCAGAAACGTCCCATCTTTCTTCAGCTTCCCATTTTGCTTATGATGGCGCCCTGATTTCTGAACCTGTAATGTTCCTATAATATGTATAGTGATTGTTCTAAGGAATACCTATCACTTTTTTTGCTGGGCAGATGGTTTTAAAAACTGCAACATGGTAAGCTATGGAATCTATTTCCTTCCCTTTCATCCATATCTGTTCCTTTTAATGAACTTGTAATTTTAAAATACTAACTTGGAACAATATTCTCCCAAGTTCTCAAGAGTGCTTGAGAATAGCCAGTCTTAAAAAAATGAGGTATGAAATGAACCACAGCCTTCCTTCTGTCATTCTCAGTTAAATACTGACAAGGCATGGCTTTATTTTCCATATTGAATGGATTACAAAAATAGTGTCCAGAATGTGGGGTAGGAGATATTTAGACAGGTCTTGGAAAAATGCCCTCAACTGCCAAATATAGCAAGTCCAGGTTCTATGAATTTTTGATTAATGAGGATGATTACATTGCCTTTACCAGCTTTCCTTTTCACAGTGAGGTTGCTTGTAGCTGATGTGGGCTGAATGGGATTTTCTCAGCAAAAATCTGTTCTTACATATTAACCTGTTCTGTTTGAAAGTATTGTGGGATAGCTTGGACATCATGAACAGTGCAGTTCTGACTAGTTGACAAAACACCTGGTACTGGTGGAGATGGAAGCAGCCAGAACTGGTTTGTTGTGATGTATCAAAACAACTTTCTGCATTATTTGGCTCTCTTTTGAAGTATGTCTATGGGGATTATCATGCCTGAATTTACCACAGCACCAACAGTAGTTATGTAAAAATGCTCAGGATTAACTATCAATTAGATGTTTTTCTATAGAAGATCAGCAAACTTGAAGGGATTTTTAATATCTTTCCCTCGTTTTCTCCTGTGCATTTTTGCCCCACTTTTTGGAAATGTTTGGTTTTCCTTGCAAACCACTTGGAGCAGACTGCAAAAGGGAAAGGTTCATGGGTGGCTTGATTACATCTGCTGACTTTTGACAAGAGCATGTGAGCTTCTATTAGAATAAAAACATGTGGCAGTTTGATAATAAGATTATAGGTATTTAAACTAGAAATAGATACGCGACTTCAGAGTTTCTAAACTACATAGGTTTCTAAGAGTGAATTGAAATAGTAGGGACCTGCATTTCAAGCTTGGAAACCTGTTTTTCTGGGGACTCCCAATATTCAGCATAGAATACCAGCAGTTTGAGCAAAATAGCTTGCCCTGTGTCAGCACTTTTCAGCTATGGGAATTGTGTAGAGACCAGCATGACACTCAAGTATCCAACACGTCTCGGACGTACACATTGAAATTGCTCAGTTAGTATTCCCATTCCCAGAAATTAGGAATGTCAGAGGTCTTGGTGCACCCAACGTAGACAGATTATTTGCCTAGAGAAGTTTTGGCATGCAGTCTTACTTGTGAAATATTGTTTACTGAAAAAATGAAGCATTCTTCAAGAACAGACTAAGATTCCGGCAGTTTTTATGTAAATGGGGCTGGTATTTGAAAGAATTTCGTTCCATGCAGGAAACCTTCACCTAGCTATTCTCATGGGTTAATTTAGTAGTTCTCCACCTTTGGCCCTTGTTGTTTTTGGTTCAGTTCACCAGCATGACAAATGGTCAGGGATTTTAGAATCCAAAGTCCAAAATATTTAAAGTAAAGTTTGAGAATCACTGGGCTAGGCCATACCTGCAAACTGTACTTCTTCTTTTTCCACATGATTGTATAAAGAGGCATTTGGCTGCTAGGAAGAATAATTGTATGAATTAGGCTGTACACAGAGGTAGCGGTCGGTGATCACTGTAAATGTGATTTGTTGCTGTTACTTGCTTCTAGTCGTGAAAATGTTGTCTTTGTGTTCCACCTGTTACGGACTAGTGGCTGTGCTTCAGATGTGACACTTAGTGCTGGCAAATAGTATATTCTAATTGCTTAGAGGATAAAGGGTTCCTGGGTGACAGGAGACAAGGGGTATGATAAAGGCCCCGAGTTATACCTGTTACAGTGAAACCAGTCTGTACTTCTAGTTGTTGTGTGCTTACTGTATTTTTCTGTTTATAAGATGACCCAATGTATAAGACGACTTGCCCTTTTCTAACCCTCAAATTTGAAAATGTGCACGATCACACCCCTTTGATTCTGCCACCGTTTCACGGCTGCTTTACCCACTTCCTAAGCCCGTGAGGCAGGGAAAAGCGGCTGCCTTCCATGTACTGTATAACACAACCCTCAATTTTTTGTCTAATTATTGAAGTAAAATGTGTCATTTTACACATGGAAAAATACGGTACCTTAGCTGCCAGGGATTAGTCTCTACACAAAAGTGAATGTAATGTGTAAACCAGTTCTGAAATTCTTAAACTTTGCTTTTCCATCCAGAACCAGAGTCATGCCTAAGAGTCCAAAATTTCAGGCAGTTGGGTTGATCCATCTCAACTGATCAGTTCTAGCCATGTAACAGGCCTCCACAATCTGGTGCCTTCCAAATAATTTGGAGTACATCCTCTATGATCCCAATCTATTGGCTGTGAACATAAGAGCAGCCATGCTATCTGAGACCAAAGGCCTAGTTATTTTGCATTGTTATCACACCGTGGCTATCCGATAGCCTGAGAGAAGTCCACAAAGATGAAAGGATCACTGTAACAGTACCCTTCTGCCCATCCTTTCAAACAGTGGGAGTATATGCATCAAGATTAGAAAACACTGATAGCCCCATCGTCTGTGGATCTGTTCCATATGTTTTAAAAGTTGGCTGAATTGGTGCACATGCTGACCGGAGACCATGGCAGGGCCGATCTGTTCAATATGTTTCAAAAGTTGGCTGAATTGGTGCTTATCACATGCTGACCGGAGACCATGGCAGGGCCTAGGGAAGATTTGTAGTTTAGGAGCACAGCACTGGTGGAATCACTTGCTTGGGAGAATGATCTCCCTTGGATGTCGCAGTGGCTGAAATCCTGTTGAGCAACTACATTTCAATAACTCATCATTACACAAGCAGTGGCGCTTATCATGCCAGGGCAGAAGTGCTATTCGTGAAGCACTTCTGCAGGCTTATTGCACAGTCAAAATGGGAAACCACGTGACCAATTGTGGAGTCCTCTTTGCCTTGGTACATTTACATAGGTGTAATGTTATATAATGACTAAACAATCAGGATTCTAACCATTGTAGCAGTGGTTCTTAACCTTGGGTTACTTAGGTGTTTTTGAACTGCAGCTCCCAGAAACCCCAACCAGCACAGATGGTGGTGAAGGCTTCTGGGAGTTGCAGTCCAAAAACACCTGAGTAACCCAAGGTTAAGAACCACTGCATTGTAGGACAGTGCCCTACGCACATCTGGAAGGCAAGAGTTTTGGGAAGGCTGTGGTATGCAAATATGCCTTGTTCTGTGCTCACATGAGTGGCTCTTGATGGTTTGTTTTTCTCTTTTATTCTCTGTGTTAGCAGTATTACTTACACAGGCACCTTCACTCTAGTACAATAAAAGTCGTAAGGTTTCATGTAATTTCTTTCGTCAGAATGTAGTAAAACATTAATCTTTCTTATTTGTATGCATTTGTCAAAACTAGAGATGGGAAGGCCTGAGAAAAAATAGTAAAACTGGGAAACAGTTTTTTCCTGTTTTTTTTTTCCAAAGCTGTTTCCCCCCCTTAAAAATAAAACAAATGAAGTGTGGAATATGGTACTGTATTTCACAGTGATAAATAGTATGTCTGTGGTATGGTATTCAAACTATATAACAAGAGGACCTTAATGAAAGACTTCTGAGACTATATATTTAAGTTTTCTGAGACAACTTAAATAAATAAAGTCTGAAACACCGGTTTTTCAAATTAATACATTAAAAAAAAATACGAACTTATGTGGATCCTAACTTGATATAGATGTGGCTTATTGTTTCTGTTCATTATAAACATACAAATTTTAACCCCATGGAAGTTCTTTTAAAACTTCGAATATGTTTTCTGGATAACATAATGAAATGTAAAATATCTAAAGAGTCTTTGCCTGTCTATTTTCATTAAGTCATTTAAAATATTTAACAGTATTCTCTATTTCTTATCCCCACTTCCTCTTCTGTAGCTACCCTCAAGAATTTCCCGAAAGAGGTAAGCCTACAACTTCCTATCTGCATGTGGGTTAAAAATTACTAATTGAGTGGCTTCCTAACTAATAATAGGGTTATTTAATCAAATGTGCATATAATCCTCCCCAAATTCAAATGTCTATCATCTATCTGCACACATTGGATCTTTTGTGTCTGAGGTTTTTAGCGCCCCCTGCTGGAAAAAATAAAGCTTTCAATTTTTTCCTCTTTTGTCAACTTTCTTTGTTGAGTAAATGAAAAAGAATTTACCACTACCAGAACAAGCCTAAAATATTTAATGACTGGATTAATTGCTTTAGCAGTAAGTTAAGATAATATTTCTAATATGAACTACAAATGAAATGAGTGTTTCAGCATAAGCTGAATTATTACTGAATAAAAAATACTGAAATCCAGTATATGTTTATTAAATAGCAAAAGAATATTACAACATGTATGAATAAGTAAAAAGTGTGTGGGGTTTTCTCCCTAAAAGCAGTGTAATGAAGACAATTTGCTTTCTGCTTTTTCCAGCCCTTTCTTTTCTGAGTTCAGCCTGTGGAAACAATATCTAAAATACTGCAATGGGAAACCAGATTTGGTGTGCTATTCTCTTTTAGTGGATAAATTGAAACAGACCTTTATAGTCTCATTAAAAGCCGGCTGATACAGTGGCCTGTTCTAAAGCTGAACCTGAAATGGCCCTTATTTTCATGATGCTAATTTGTGAGGTCATGACCTGCAGCTGCTGAATGCTGGTATGAGGGTCACCGCATGAGGTCAAAAAAGCATATGTGAAACTACAGTAGGTTCCCTCCCCTCTCCTTCCTCTTATCCTGAACAACCCATGATGACATGTATTTATTTCCTTTTATTTTAGGGTCTTATAAGCTCACCCCCAGTACTTTCAGAATGCTTGCAGATGAAATTTAGCTGTAACTTTGTGTCTGCATATCGCAGCGCCTCTCTGAAACAGTAAATGTATGCAGTGTGAGGCATGGAAGTATGCCTCTTTTGAAAGCTATTTCCAGTTGTTTGTGTAGATATTTAGTATTGCAGCACTGATTGGATGAGGAAATTAGCAGCTCTGTTTTTTTTCTTTAACTCAATTTTATTATATAGTGAAGTTCAGTTTTAATTTGTTCAAAGCAGAGGCTAAGAATTTAATGCATTGGTCTGCCTTGCAGACGAAATACTAATGAACAATTATTTAAAATGATTGCACAAATTGATTGCAGGCCAAGGATGCGCAGATGGGAGTTTTGCGTGCAGAGCAGGGCTATATTGCTGCAAAGCAAGCTTTACAAACTCAGATCAGTCTATCCAAGGAGGGGCATCTAACTTGCAGAAATAGGCTTCTGCATGGATATTATTTGTCGGATGGAGAACTGCATCTGTGATCCAGTATAGTTTGGCAAGTTTTTCTAGCCAATATAGTAATTTGACTGCATGTAGAGAGGTCATTTTTAAAAGCTAAAATCTGGACTATCTCCTTTCTGGTATGGGGACATGGATTTATTGCCCTCTTCTTTTCCACATAGATGCGAAGTGGTGTGATGTATGTCAGTTTTCGTTGGTGTGCCTTTTTTTTTACAATAGTTTTGATTTAATTCAAATTAATTTAAATCATGCTTTAAATTACAATTTAAATTTTTAAAAATCAGATTTTTCAACAATTCAAATAAAAAATCAATTTTTGATTAAAATAATGATTTAAATTAATTTGATTTTTTAAAAAAATCATTGATTTTTATCCACCGTGTTTTTTTTTTTATTGGTTGGAATATGTCATTGATTCTGTTATAGACACTTCCTTATATAATGCCTGAGTCAATTTCACTCCATCTTCCCAGGTTGATTCTTTACCATACAGCAGATTGATGGGATGTTAGGTTTTACAGAAAGCTTTTTACTTAAAACTTTTTATTTCTTTTTCACAAATGGTTGGATTAAAAGAAGGAGATAAAACAACAATTTATTATGTGGCGTGTGTGGCTTTATAATCAGAATAACATCTTAAAATGTATCTGCATTAGAGATGGGGCTATTCATATTCATAGACAAATATCCCCGCACAGGTGGAAATAATGAAGATCCAGCCCCATGGGGCCAGACTGTCCACTCACAATTTTGCCACTGACGCGAGCTCATCAGACCTTCCTATCGCGCCGTTGTCCGCAATCGATTACCCACTCCTGGCAGGAGGCGGGATGACAAGCCTCTGCTAGGTTGGAGAGTGGCTAATTCATTGCAGAGAACAGTGTGATAGAAAGCTGCCACAGAGCTGGCGTCAGTGGTGAAATTGTGAGTGGACAGTCTGGCCCCATGGGGCCGGACACTCATTGTTTCCACCTGTGCAGGGGTATTCGTATAGGCATACGAATACCCCCATTTCTAGTTTGCATTGTAATCTAAATGTACTCCTTGCAGTGTACATAGACCAGGAATAGGAAGGTATGCGTTGTGTGCTGCTCAAGGGCCCCCAATGTCCTTCTAAGCCCCAATTCCTGATGCTCTGGGAAAGAAATAATTTGCTCAAAAATTGCAAATCACCTCCTCCCCTGAAGCTGGTCTTTCCCCCTTTCTAGAAAAAGCCTTTGCCTTAAAACAGGCCCTTAAAACAGAATGGAGGAATTATAGCATTTGCCATTTTGGATTGAAGGTTGTCCCCCAGTGGGACAATTGCAGTGGTGGAGGGAAAGAGAAATAACCCTTAGAACCTCAAAAGTTGCACTTACCTGATGTAGACAGAGATCAGTTGAAGTATATTTGTGGATTTGTGTGAAAAAAGGGTTGCCTGTTGGCATGTGTTTGGCCACCATAAGGACAAAAATGCTGTACTAGATAGGCCCTTTCATGGCTTTTAGGTTTTTAATGCATATTCTTAGTGTTTCCTCAGAGAAAACTGTAATTTTATGGAAGTAGAATGTGTTCATGATGTGCTAAAAAGATTGTGTGATTAACAGGCAAAGCTGCATGAATTTATAGCAACACAATTTTCTGTTACTTTTCTTATTTTTTATAGCAGCACTCATTTATATCACTATTCTTGTTTCTACTCCTGTTTCCTGAATCAGCGGTACAGTGGTGCCTCGCTTAACGGGGGCTCCATTTTACGATGAAATCGCATGACAACAAAGTTTTTGCGATTGCAAAAGTGATTGCAAAACGATGTTTCCTATGGGGGAATTTCAATTCTCACAAAATGACGATTTTCCTACAGCTGATTGGCGGTTTCAAAATGGCCGCTGGGTTAAAAAAATGGCTGGCCGCTGTTTTCTGAGATGGATTCCTTGCTGCATGGGCAGCGAAAATGGCCGCGCTATTGAGGATCTTTGCTGGACGGTGAGTTTCAAGCCCATAGGAATACATTAATCGAGTTTTAATGTGTTTCTATGGGCTTTTTAATTTTGCTTTATTATGTTTTCGTTCTACAGCGATTTCGCTGGAACGAATTAACACCGTAATGCGAGGCACCACTGTAGTTACAGTTCATATATAAGGTGGATACTTTGCAATTCCTGCACTTTATGCATGGCTCTATGTATTTCAATGCTATTGGTATCTTTATGGTCAACCTAGATTAGATGCACGAGGTGTGTTAATGACTGCTGGTGGCTGTCACACCCCGGAGAATCCCCCACCATAGGAGAAAAAGACATGGTGTATGTCTTTTTGGGAGGGCAGTCCTGATTTGATTTGAAAAAGATCCTGGGGAGGAAAGCTTTAAGCACCACTTTCTACTGCGATTTCAGCAAATATCACACCCTTCTACTCTATAATGATTGGAAGGCTGTTCACATACTTTCCATTTGACCTGAAGGCTTTTCTGCTCATTAGCGACACATTAATTTCCTTATCCTTGTAGGAGATGTTCTTTTGCACGCACCCTTTCCCCTTGAAAGTTGTGTCTCACGCCCTAATTTCTAATATGTTGAAGTGCAGTTTTAGAGATCACAAAGATGTTTCATATCAGGCAAAACCAAAAGAAAAATAAAGAAATAAGACAAAAATGTGGCACCTTAAAGATTAACTGCTATACTTTAACTCCTATGCTAATTTTTGCCAACTGTGGTCTTCTGTACTCTACATAAGACAAACAGATCATTCTCTGCACAAAAGAAATTAATGGACACAAATCAGACATCAGAAATGTTAGTGCATGAAAACCTGTTTCGAATCACTTTAATTTACATGCACACTCTGCACAAGACCTGAAAGTTGCCATTCTGGAGAAGAAAAATAACAGGACAAGAATCTAGAGAGAGGCAGCTGAGCTAAAATATGCACATGTGTTTAAAACCCATTTCAGTGGACTCAGTATAAGCCAAGGTTTCTTTTGTTGGTTGTTGTGGGTTTTTCGGGCTCTTTGGCCGTGTTCTGAAGGTTGTTCTTCCTAATGTTTCCCCAGTCTCTGAGGCCGGCATCTTCAGAGGACAGCACTTTCTTTTGTTGTTGTTGTTTAGTCGTTAAGTCGTGTCCGACTTTTTGCGACCCCATGAACCAGAACACACCAGGCCCTGCTGTCTTCCACTGCGTCCCGGAGTTGGGTCAAAGTCATGTTGGTAGCTTTGGTGACACTGTCCAACCATCTCGTCCTCTGTCATCCCCTTCTCTTGCCTTCACACTTTCCCAACATCAGGGTGTTTTCCAG